GGGTCACAGAGTCCGGAATTGTCAAACTGGTCAAAGAGTCGCAGTCAGAAAAGGCACCATCTCCAATCTTTGTCAGAGAGGAGGGAAAGGTCACGCCCCCAATCATGTCGCATTTGCAGAAGGCTTCTTGTTCAATTTCCGTCGTGCCTTCTGGAATATTTATCATGAATAAGACCTGGGGTCTGAAGATAAATTTGAAGGGTGAGTCGAGGGAGCAGCCAGCATCGTTCTTTTTGGAGCACTCTAGTGAGCGGACTGTGAAGTAAACTTGCAAAACTACATCTTCAGAAAGACCTGCTCTCATGACTGTCTCGCCATCATCAATCAGCTTAGTTTCACCGATCACCAATTCAACCAAGGTCATCTTCTTCATAGCCTCATCTGTCCATTCTCGCATTCCTTTGAGCTGTCTTTTGAGCTCGCAAATGGTCATGTCCGGGGCTGCTGCAACGACAGTAACATCCCCGCTCATCTGCTGCACTGAAATGTTCATCATCGTAGCTCAGGAATGTTCAGCTGTTCTTGCAACCTTTGGCAAGTGAAAGCAAGCGGTTTGAGCCTATGCCATCATAATGAAGAATATTGCTAGATGTTCGAGGCGATTCCCTCTTAGTTGTGCTTTTAGAATTGCTGCACCAGGAAAATCAGGACCCAAACACCAAAGTGGAGAAACCTGGATATAAAGGAAAGTGCACTGGTCGTGGTCACAAGAAGCACTGGTCCACCTGCCAAACGGAGGTCGGCCCCGGCCGAGCAGCGCGTTTCTTCTCGCTCGCCAGCTGCATTGGGTCCGATCCAAGCGTTTCCAGGCTGAGGGATTCGCAGGGGCCAGTTGCAGTGATCAAAGATATACAGCGATGGGCAGAAAAAAGGAGAACTTGGAAACAAAGAGACCAAGGTGTCGCCGAAAATATGTTAGAACATCACGTCTATCCTAGCAGGGGGCCTCGAAACCAATCCATGAGCGAGGAATTCTTTGGGCGCGGCTGGAACCTCGCGAATCGCCCCCGTATGTGGGCGGGGGGAGCTTTCCATTTGCCGTCGAAGATTTAAAAAAAACACAACTTAGCCCACAACCTACTGTACGTTGCAGTGCTTCGGCTGGGGTAGTCGTACCTCCAATGACAATGTCCCGCTCCTGCTTCCCTCTGGGCCCAATCCTATGAAGCTAGTCTCGAATTCAGCATGTAACAGTAAATTCAAGCAAATCATGTGCACAAGACAGAATTTGCTTGGCATCGAGGCATCACTGTGTGATTTCCACTAGCGCATCGCTTAGACCCCATGGCATCCTTCAAACAGACAAAGTACATAAGACAGATCGTATGCCTCTTCTACACACGGGGCAAGATCTCATTTGTTGGGCACAGCTCAAGCAGAGCGCATAATGCATGCATGGCTCAAGGACAACGGATCGTGGGGCTTCCATGCAAACGCAGCATTGGGTCCTCAGATGGCCGACAAGCATGCAAACGAAGGTGGCATAACTCCAGCTTACACACCATCTGCTGTTGTGGTGGTCATGGCATCCACCACCCACCCACCCACCCACCCACGCACCCGCCCGCCACCCAGACCCACCCACCCAGACCCACCACCACTCGCACTGCGCACATCTTGCACCGTGGCAATGTGCCTGCGATCTGAGGCTCTGAGTGAGCAATTCATTCCTGGTCACCTCGATGATCCGAGCCTCTGCCTGCTGGATCGACAAAAGGAGCTCCGTGTTCTCCTCGGTCGGCCGACGGTCGGAACCTCCGGATGTTCCGGACAAGGTCGCTCTGGACAGGTCGGGCCCAACCTCGGGACGCCCCAAATTCGTTTCCGCGTCGATGTGGATGGAGACTTGAAATCGCCGATCCGCAACGTGAAACAAGCCGATGACCATCGGGGTTTGTTCGGTGCAGAGCGCGGTAGAGAAGAGACTGAACGGATGTCCTGATGTCCCCCGTTCTAGAGAGCTGACCCTCTGATCTCTGCCACGCTCGCTCACACTCTCTCTCTCTCTCTCTCTGTTTGTGGTTTTGCATGATCTCTAATTGGCTAATCAGGGTCAAACTGTTGTTGCCCAACTTATCCATATCCGCCATATCTGCAAACTTTAACTTTTAACCCAACTTGCAACTCACCCAAAAATATGGCTTGAATGCCTGGCACAGGAAATGGTATGAGCTCATTCGTTCACCTAAAAAGTCTCATCCAAATCAAGACATGTTCCAGACAATTAGAGATTATCCAAAACAAACAGGCAAGCCGCGTATCTGCAAATTGCCCGTTGCAAAACACAAGCTTCGAAGGCTTACAGCCTTACAGCTGGGATTGCCGCAAAGAGGATACACTCTCCCAACACACCCTGCCCGCCTTGGGCGGGTGTGGCCTGCCCTCGAAAGATCTAAAAAATTGCAAACTCTCCTTTCAGTTTAGACC